CCAGAAGGATCGCCAGAGCCCAGCAGGTCGAGGCTGCGGTGGCTGGGAGCGGCCACTGCACTCCAGTCTGGGCAACAGTGAGACTCCAACTCAAAATAAATAAATAAATAAATAAAATTAATGATACAATCTAGGAGGTGTGAACTTTCCAATATTCAGGAGGTTCTAAAAATGAGCTGGTCAAGGTTAGTGGAAAAATAAAGCTAATGATTAGAGGCCTTATCATTGGGAACGTGATCTAATGCAAATATACCCAGGTCCTGCAGTGAGGCCTCTAATGTGAATAATGTTGTTTCCATTAGGCCAGGGAGTCAGCTTAGAGTACACCAAGGAACCCCTAATGTAGTAGGTGAAATTGTGTATATGGAGAGAGATGATTTATTGCTGTCTTTTTGTTGTTGTTGTTTTCATCATATCTCAAAGAGGTCATTAACTCAAAGTTTTAGCACCACTACCACACCAGATCATATGGCCTCTTTTTGAAAATCAGTGACTTAAAAAAAAAAAAGTCAGCCGGGCATGGTGGCTCACACTTATAAGCCCAGCACTTTGGGAGGCCATGATGAGAGGATTGCCTGAGCCCATGAGTTCAAGACCAGCTTGGGAACTTGGTGAGACCTCATCTCTACAATAAATCAAAAAATTAGCTGGGCGTGGTGGTGCATTCCTGTAGTCCCAGCTACTTGGAAGGCTGAGGCAGAAGGGTCACCTGAGCCCAGCAGGTGGAGGCTGCAGTGGCTGTGAGCACTGCGCTTCAGCAACAAATTGAGACTCCAACTCAAAAAAAAAAAAGTCCAGATTTCCCTTGAAGAAGATTGTCAGCCAGACATGGTGGCTCATGCTTGTAATCCCAGCACTTTGGGAGGCAGAGGCGAGAGGGTTGCCTGAGTTCACGGGTTTGAGACCAGCCTAAGCAACTTGGTGAGAACTCGTCTCTACAATAAATCAAAAAATTAGCCGGGTGTGGTGGCATGCATGTATCGTTCCAGCTACTTGGAAGGCTGGGGAGGAGGGATCACCTTCAGGTAGAGGCTGCAGTGACAGTGAGACTCCTACTCAAAAAAAAAAAAAAAAAAATTGTCAACAGATCTACCAACATAACCAATATCACTGTGTATGATGGGGGAGTTGTCCAGTTTTCTAGTCATAGCCTATACTTCATGCTCATAAAAAATAGACTACATTCTTCGAGGCTGGAATTTCTTTCTGGAGGGCTGCCTTGTGACTTTTAATTATGTTTATTGAAATTACCTGATACAGGATTCAACCCTCCAAATTCTCCAAAGCCAGAATCAAGAGCCAAGATTCGTTTTGATAACTTTATGCTGCCTCATTTGCCTGATGTAAAACCTCAAGCAAGCTTGTCCATTGGTCCTTATGGTTCTGAAGAGGTTGACTTTGAGGATCTTAACCGGAGACTTGAAATGTTGAAGAAAATGACATAATTCCTTTGTCCTGGATTGAACATTTGCCTGGAAATCAGGGCTTCTGGGCATGAATTTTAACATGGTCAACTGTGTGTGGGTCTGAAGTTATCTCATGCGCAATCCTTTCCATTTCTTAAGTTCTGTGGCTCTCTGCCTACTGTGTCTCTGTACACACACATACACTTATTTCTGTCCCTAAAAATTCTATAATTCTTACATGAAGATTCTTGACCTACAGAATTTTATTAAATTGTAGTCAATAAACTTTAATTTTCTTATGGATCCTTATTTTTCTTATAGTTATCTCTTTTACCAGGGAGGCAGAATGGTGTGAATGTATTTGTTTATTTATTTGTTTGTTTGTTTATTTATTTATTTATTGTTTTGAGTTGGAGTCTCACTCTGTCACCCAGACTGGAGTGCAGTGGCCGCTCCCGGCCACTGCAGCCTCGACCTGCTGGGCTCCAACGATCCTTCTACCTCAGCCTTCCGAATAGCCGGAATTACAGGCACGCGCTACTATGCCCGGCTGATTTTTTGATTTATTGTAGAGATAAGATTTCGCCAAGTTGCCCAGGTGGGCCTCGAAACCGTGGGCTCAGGCAATCCATTCACCTCAGCCTCCCAAAGCGTGGGATTACAGGCTGAGCCACCGAGCCCAGCTAATGGTGTGAATTTAAATCCCACTTCTATACTTATTAGCTATAAGAGTTATGGCAAATGGACCTTCTGTCAAATATGTATGAAAGAGCTAAAAATCTAGAGGAATAAGTGTCTTTTAACAAATCAGTATCTTATAGACTATACAAACATAGAGTGAATAACATAAGTGTTCCCAGAAAATCATTGTAATCTGTATGCCTGAATTCTAATTTAGACTCTGCCACTCACTAGCTATGAACCTTTTATTTTTGCATTTATAAAATGAGGGCAACAATGAGGATTTAAAAAAATAATAAATAGTAGGGCAGGGCACAGTGGCTCTTGCCTTTAATCCCAGCACTTTGGGAGGCGGATTAAAGGATTGCCTGAGCCCAAGAGTTCGAGACCAGTCTGGGCAACTTGGTGAGCCCTCGTTTCTGCAATAAAGATGAAAAAGAGAAGAAAAAGAGGAGAGATAGAAAGACGTGCCAGAGCAGGCATGGGTGAGAGAAACTGCCTATTTTTCTTTTTCTTTTCCTTTTTTTAAGATGTAATCTCACTCTGTTGTCCAGGTTGGAGTGCAGTGGCATGCTCAAAGCCACTACAGCCTTGACCTGCTGGGCTCAGCTTGACCTCCTTTCGTCTCAGCCTTCCTGGTAGCTGGAACAACAGGTACATGCTACCACGCTTGGCTTATTTTTTAATTTATTGTAGAGATGCCGTTTCACCAAGTTGCCCAAGGTGATCTCTAACCCCTGAGCTCAGGCAATCCTCTCACCTCGGCCTCCCAAATCACTGGGATTACATTACAGGCTTGAGTCACTGTGTCTGGCTGGTTTTCTTTTTAATAGACTTTCTTTTCTTTTTTTTCAGTTGGCATCTCTGTTGCCCAGGCTGGAGTGCAGTGGCACACTCATAGCCACCCCAGCTTCGACCTGCTGGGCTGACTAATTTTATTATTGTAGAGACTAGGTCTCGCCAAGTTGCCCGGGCTGGTCTGGAACCCGCGGGTTCAGGCAATCCACTCACCTCGGCCTTCCAAAGTGCGGGATTACAGGCTGAGCCACCGAGCCCGGCCAGCTATATTAATTTTTAAAAACACTATTAAAGACCAGGCGCAGTGGCTCAAGCCTGTAATCCCAGCACTTTGGGAGGTCATGCAAGAGGATTGTCTGAGCCCGGGGGTTTAAGACTATCTTGGGCAACTTGGTGAGACCTTGTCTCTACAATAAATCAGGAATAATTAGCCAGGCGTTGTGGCGCATCTCTGTAGTTCCAGTTACTTGGAAGTCTGAGGCAGAAGGATCACCTGAGCCTATTAGGTTGAGACTACGGTGGCCGTGAGCATGACACTGCGCTCCAGCCTGGACGACAGAGTGAGACTCCACTCAAATAAATAAATAAATAAATAAATAAATAAATAAATAAATGCAATTATTGGTTATGCAAAATCTTTATTTCAGTATCCTATTTATGTGTCCAGGAGAGTTTGGCTTCCCCCTTTTGCATATGAGAATAAGATACCAACAAACCAATGACTCTTAATACATAAGTTTGGCCTTGAATATTTCATTCTAAGATTTCCCATTCCTCATAAAAAACAAATTTATTCAAAGAATATGGAGTTAGCAGGGGATTCTTCTAATCCAAGGTCAGGGAGTCACTTGCATGGCAAGGGGGCTGCCTCTCCTTTGAAGTGAGATGCCTCACACTGTCACCTCCTGGAATCCTATACCATCCTCTGGCATGTGTGAATGGCTTGGTGGAGAAGGAGTTTGGCCTTCCTTGAACTAGGCACCAGGGACTGGCTTCCCCAGTTTCTGTGGCTGTCCCAATACTCCTTGGAATTCCCAGGCTACTTTGAAAGCTAATCATAGGGCTGGGCTGGGCACAGTGGCTCATGCCTATAATCTCAGCACTTTGGGAGGCCGAGGTGAGAGGATTGTCTGAACTCACAGGTTCAAGACCAGCCTGGGCAACTTGGAGAGCCCTCATCTCTACAATAAATCAAAAAATTAGCTGGGCGTGGTGGCGTATGCCTGTAGTTACAGCTACTTGGAAGGCTGAGGTGGAAGGATTGCTGAGCCCAGCAGGTTGAGGCAGCAGTGGCGGTGATCATGCCATTGCCCTCCAGCCTAGGCAATAGAGTGAGACTTCAACTCGAAATAATAATAATAATAATAAACACATAAATAAAGTTAATTTTAGGGCTGATTTTAAAAGAACAAAGATGTGGTTATGCACTTAAAGGAAAACAAAAACCAATTGCCATGTATTTTTCTAGGCAAATGATAGTGCCTGTACATTTTTTTCTTTTTTTTGAGACAGGATCTTGCTATGTTGCCCAGGCTGATCTTGAACACTTGGCCTCAAGCAATTCTCCTGCCTCAGTCTCCCAAATAGTTGAGACTATAGGGGTCCACTATCATGTGGAGCTCAATGGACACACTTGAATAGAAAACAATGGGTTAGAAGTCTTGCATCCTCCTCTAGTGACCTCAGTTTTGTCCTCCCTTACAGGAGAATGGCACCATTTCCTCAGTTGGGGTTTGAGTTGATTGCAGTTTCATCCTTGACAAGGTTTTTCTCCCAACGGTGCCAATATAATACAGAATCATTTACAATTTTTTTCCCTCTAAATGTGCCAACATAATACAGAATCATTTACAAGCCAAGACTAACTACAAGAAAGAAACTATTATAACATAAAGCATCTCAGGTGGCACTTTGAGATGCCTCTTTTAAAAAAATTTAAAGCTAGGCACGGTGGCACATACCTGTAATCCCAGCACTTTGGGAGGCAGAGGCAAGAGGACTGCCTGAGTCCAAGGGTTCAAGACTATCTGGGCAACTTGGTGAGACCTCATCTCTACAATAAATCAAAAAATTAGCCAGGCATGGTGGCGCACGCCTATAGTTCCAGGTACTTGGGAAGCTGAGGTGGAAGAATCACCTGAGCCCAGCAGGTCAAGGCAGGTCAAGGCTGCAGTGGCCGTGAGTGTGCCTCTGCACTCCAGCCTGGGCGACAGAGTGAGACTCTGACTCAAAAAGCAAAAATTTAAAACAAAGCGGGGGCTTTGCAGAATCTCATATCATTTAGGCTTTGGTCTTCACTTTGAGGGATGTAGTAGATTTCCTAATGCTCTTGGTAGGAGGTCAGAGTATGTAGAGTTGGCTGCTAGAATTTTAATTCTTACATTATTTTTGGCTTTTGTCGTAATTTAAGGATTAATTGTTAACCCCTTGTCTCAGGACAGGATACATTGTGATTAGGGACTGTGCTTACAAAAATTGTGAAAATGCCTTTTGTGAAAACATTACATAAACAACAGTGGAGAGACTAATTTCTCTCTGACTTTCAGGCTTATTTATAGATTCTTGTGACTCAAACGATAACAAAACAGGCCAGTGGAACCGCCTCTTTGACTCACGTCACTGCATTTCCTACAGGGTTGTGCCCCTTTTCACTCTGCTTTCTTGGCTGAGGTCTCTGGCACGTGGAGAGACAGGAAAAATGCCTTGTGAAAGACGCTGACCACATTTCTTTAGAGAGAGCGTCCCCCATCTGCTCTAAAGGTCATAAGGACTTCAGATGATGAACTGATCAAGTCATTTAAGAAACCCACTACATCCTTAAGCCCAAGTGAGAGGGTCCCCTTCTGGTACCACAAATTCCACCTGATATGCCTTATTTTCCAAAAAGCCCCTTTTAGCTGCTCTAGCTCCAGTGACTTCTCACTTCACTGCTTTTTCTGAACTAGGACTTATCTGTTGAATGATAATAATGCTTTTTTGTATTTTTAAAAAGTCTAGTTTTCCTCAATGATATTATAATTATCTGGAGGGTGTCTGTCTGGAGGGGTATGTCTATTACAGATTCTGGTACACCCAGGACAGTGTAGCATAGTGGAAAGATTCAGGCAGCCAATTCAAGGAATGATTATTATATGGGTTAGAAGACAAACCCAAATGGGAAGTTCTCAGTTTGAGTCTGGTTTTGTTTGCTGAACGCATGTGTGACAAATCATTTAACCTCTGAGTCTCCATTTCTTTATCTCTAAAATGGGAATAATATTTATTCTTTTTTTTTTTTTTGAGTTGGAGTCTCACTCTGTCGCCTAGACTGGAGTGCAGTGGCCGCTCCCAGCCACCGCAGCCTCGACCTGCTAGGCTCTGGGATCCTTCCGCCTCAGCCTTCCAAGTAGCTGGAACTACAGGCGCATGCTACCACACCCGGCTAATTTTTGACTTATTGTAGAGATGAGGTCTTGCCAAGTTGCCCAGGCGGGTCTCGAACCCGCAGGCTCAGGCAATCTACTCACCTCGGCCTCCCAAAGTGCTGGGATTACGGGCTGAGCCACCGAGCCCAGCCATAA